CTAATACTAACAGACTTTTTCTTTCTTTTGACATGATGTCGTTTTATTCAAACGTATTTTTCTTTGTCGTCTTTTTACGTAAATAATTTTTTTATTTTACGACAATGTTTTATTAAAGTACAGTAAAGACGTTGATAAGCTTCGATATGCGGCAAAAGCAGCTTCAAAGTCTTCTGAAAAACTAGATAGTATCAGCGCTAATAGAGGCGATATAATAACTGTCTTCGCGCGAACGCCGAAAAAAGGGGTCAAAGGTTGGCAGTTTGCTCGTTTCAAACAACAAAGAACCATCGTAACGCAGGCTCTTGGACTTCCTTAATCACTCAAATACCTTGAGGAACAGCCAGAAGAGAACAAACACTTGGATTTCTCTCTCCAGAAACTGTTGAAAAGATATCTCATGCAGCAACCATTCAACGAGCAACCAACAGTCCTACCTCAAGCTTTAGACACGGAAACAATTACCACAGATTCATGCAGGATTCACGAGGACGTCCCTTTTTTGAGGATGATGCAACACTAGACAATTTTAGGAATCGGACAGATCAACTCCAACATCCAATACACACTCCATCAATAACCAGCAATAGCAACCAGTGAAACTCAGGTGCCTCGCCCTTGACTTACTGTACTACTCCACTTATCGCCAAAGATCGTCAAACTGTAATAGATACGCAGTCCACAAACTTCTAGATGCGAGGATAATCAAAGTATCACTAACGCAAGCCATATATTACTTTTCAATTTTTTTCATTATTCAAGTAACAACCAAACAGCAATCCGGTCCTCGATTATCGACAATTGAACCAATTTGTACAATGCAGCCATTTTCGCATGGAAAAGTATATCCGCACTAAGAGATATAGTAGAGAAAGACGATCTAATGTGTATATTAGATTTAAAAAGGGCTTGTACGTCGTTGCGCCTATGCATCAAAAGTCAAGAAGGTTTTGAACATATCTATAGACATCTTTTGTAGAAAAGTGTTTATTTCAAATAAATATCTTCATTGTTTGGATTAGCTTGGTATTCTGTAACTAGAAGGCTGATGAATAAAAAAAAAAGTAGTATCCGTTTTATACTTACCGAGGCGTTAAGGAATACGCTGCCGTTGTAGACAGCGCATTAAATCCAGGGAGCACCGTTAGTCTTTTGAAGATCTTCTGAAAGGGGGAGGACTTTCATTATCATGTTTTGGTTTGTAAACAAAGATACCATATGTATTTAATGCACTGTTCACATCGTGATTTCAGACCGTACCACAAGATTCACACGTGAGGACAACGTATACTATTCGCTTTGATCCAGTAATAGAAGTGCTGGTAATATTTTTTGGTCATACACTTGTTACAAATCTGACTTGATAAGCGCTCGTCAACATAAACAAGTTCGGTTTTCCCATTAGATTGTTTGCACCTTCGTTTGGTTTCTTCGGTGACATGTCTTGTACCCTGTAATGAAAAATCTCTGCTTTAGACACACTGCATATTTTGCTGTGTTCCACTTCTATTATAAGTTGACGATCAAAGCAGTTGCCTTTATAAAAGTGATGAGATAAGAATACTAAAATGACGCACAATGGTCAAGGATCGTCGTCTAAACGCCAGGAATAGTGATTGAAGAAGTAACGCTAAAGAAGAAAGAGGAGAGGCACGAACTCCAATGTCATACATATGTTCCATGACGAAATAGCAGTATGTAATTCGTACAAACGTATGCAGCTTATGTCTCAATGATAACAGCTATTTCAGCAGTGCTCGCCCAAGCACCAAATTTGAATACAACAAGTGTTCCTAGCCAACATTTTGATTTTCAAACACTGTAGGAATATTCTCAGTTTAGAAAGGAAAACAAAGTCACTTGAAAGAGGCATAAAGAGATCATTGCCCTTTTTTGCTTCTTACATCAATGTCATGCATCCGTAGATCCTTTTTGTTTGTGTAAATGCAAACACCCTTTTTATTAACTTAATCTCCACTTGCACATCCTCTGCAGCCACAGTGAACGCATTCTACCATTTTACCTTCTTCCAACTTTTCCTTGGGTACTCTACAAATACACGTTGTTCCAAAGTTTGTATCTCTAGGTTGAATGCATCGAAGGCAGCATAGCTTTTCGAATCCCGGCTATAAACATATCACTAAGCAAAAGAGCATACCATTATATGTTTCTTTAAATACCTTTTTCCATTTGGCTATAAGATTAGCATCTGCATACTTGTTTTTTATTAAGTAATCATATAGATCTCGTGAGATAATCTTTCTTTTGTAATAAAGATCATATATATATCGTGAACGCTGATGGTGAATACGAAATACTGGCCATGTTGACTCAACTATACGCTTTCCCTCATGTGATTCATTTTCGACTATTTTTTTACGAGTTAGATCCCTTCAAATCATTCATGTTGTATATATTACCTTCTCTCATTTTTCTGGCGAATTCTTCTAATGTAGGCTCAATTTCATCAAAGCCTTCAGGTGGTCGCTTCGTTCTTTGTGTTCTAATCTTTGGCATGACAGTATTTTATGACTATATGATTAAGAAAGACAAATAAAATTAAAAAAAAAAAGGCTAGATGACGTACAGTTGTGTTTAAAGTCCGCATTTAGGCTTGCCAGCGCATACAAAACTAAAAGACAGCTCTTTAATTCTGCATTGGTTCTAAAAAGTACAAAAATGGGACAGACTATACTCTAGCTCCATTGTTAACAATAGACACAAAAAGGCGTGTATTGCTACCTTCTTCCCGTTCATTTTTTCTATTGTGTTTGTTAAAAAAAGGAAGCTTTGTATCAACCTCAAAACTCAAAGTTGAACAACTATAAAAAAAAAGTCACAAGAGTATAGACCGTCCAAGTGCCTGAAACCTGACTTCAGGTCCTTCTTTTTTTAATTACGAGATCCTGTCATGTCTCGAAACACTTTAGATGGGTATTACTTATTTTCTTCGAGCGCTGCAGCATTAGTAGCTCGTATTGTAACGCATCCTGGTAAATAGATCTTTAGCAAGCTATAATTAGAGTTAACCCTCTTTTTAGTGGACACGATTAAAACAAGACTGCAGATCATAAACACAACAACAAAGATGCCTTCTATTTTCAATGTTGCCTTCCCACTAACCACACTTTATCGAGGATTACCTGTGTCCATGCTATTCTCGGTACCTGCACTATCAGTATATCTATCTTGCTATGAGTGGTCAAAACAGACACTAAATACAACGTACAAACTATCGAGAGATACAGTCATGAGTCATCTACTATCGGCTTGTGCAGCTGAAGTTGTAGCTGGTGCTCTCTTTACACCGATGGAAGTGATGAAAAACCGATTACAAACACAGCAAAAAGATAGTACGATCACACTTGCTAAAACAATTGCCAAAACAGAAGGCTTTCGAGGATTTTTTAGAGGCTATTGGATGGGAATGGCGGTGTTTGTGCCTCATTCGATGATATATTTTGTAACATATGAGTCAATGAAACAATGGATGAACCAGAGCCATTTTCAGACATATATGCTTTGTTCAACTGTTGCAGGCGTAACGAGTATTGCTGTATCTACGCCACTGGATACAATTAAAACAAGATGGCAAGTGTCGGCTGCAGATCAAGGACAGCACTTTAGACAAGGACCTATTGCGATTGCAAAAAATATGATCAAGCAAGAAGGACGCGTGGCACTCACCAGAGGACTATTGGCACGCATTGCTTGCGGTATACCCTCAACGACGATCAGTATGACCATTTTTGAAGTACTTAAAGATAGCCGAGAAAAAATTTTGGGGAATGTAGGCAAAACATTTGCGATACAATAAATTCTATTTATTTGAGTAAGAGATGCCATTATAGAGTCTACAAAAGAGTGAAAGCAGCAATAATAGCGGCACCAACAGTGGCACCAAGACTCACGCGAACAAAGCTTGCACCTGATTTGCTATTTTGAACCTTAGCGTTGCCACCTGTTGTTGGACGAGAATTGGGAGGAATAGCTTTGGAGAGAGTAGCAGAGGGAGCAGCGGCAAAAGACAAGGAACGACTGCCACTAGGTGTAGCACTGGCGGAACGACTAATGGCCATGCTACTTGCGCTCATGCTAGGAGTTACTGCTTCTAAAGTGTTATTTTCTTGCTTAGTATAGTCATCATTCTCATCTTCTGTCTTCTTTTTCTTTTTATCCTTCTTCTTTTGATCTTCATCCTCTTCCTCATCTTCATCATCCTTAGGCTGCTTCTTTTTGTCCTTCTTGTCCTTCTTATCAGTTTTGTCCTTCTTTTCAGTCTTTTCTTCCCTGTCATCGAACTTGTAGATGTTGGCTACTTGTGGTGTAAATGAATTGGCCTTGATGTGGCCTGTAAGGCCTTTTGTTCCTGCTCCCCCATAGTGTCCAAAGCCTTCATCATCACCTTTAAAATCTTTGCTACCCTCCTTATCATCGTGCTTATGACCATTGTTATAGCCACCGCGTTTTCTACCATTATTATTACGGCTTCCATTGTGGTCATTACCCCCTTTGTGACGATTATACTTGCCCTCATGATCATCATCGTTGTCGTTGCCATCATCGTCATCATGGTCATTATCTTTGTAGTTACCATAGTCACTATGATCATCGTCTTCATAATCGTTATCTTCGTAGTCATCCTGATCATTATCATCTTCGTCATCATGGTTATTGTAGTTACCACCATTACGTTTGTTATTATACCCCTCATCATCATCATCATTATCGTTGTCATCGCCATTATCGTCATCACCTTCATCGTAGTCACCAATATCGTAGTCACCAATACTGTAGTCATCCTCGCCATCAAAATCGTCGTCTTCATCGTCTTCATCATCATCGTCTTTATCGTCTTTATCGTAGCCATTGCGAACTTTATCATTCTTATTGTTGTTATTGTTACGGCGATTGCTGTTAGAATCAGCTTTCAATTTGCCACTAGAAGTACCAGTGCCAATTTCAATAGCAGGAAGAAGGGATGCTTCAGAGTTGACATAGGCAATGCCATGAACACCATGACCACGAGCATTTCCATAAACTTGGGCTATGATAGAAAACGATGAGTATAAGGCACGTTTATCAATGTAAGGGAAAAGGTCTACCTTGAACCAGGACTGTTGCAAGAGCAAGAGAAAGCACTATTTTGGTTTGCATCTTTATTAAAAGCAGATCGCAGAAAGGAAAGAAAGAGAAAGAGGATCAAGCTTGAACAAGAAATGTTTATATATGAGGTATGATTGAAAGATATGAGAATAGAACATATAAGAAAGAGACTGCCTTCAAAGATATGTGTTATTTTCTTTACGTTTAAATTTAAACTTTTGTGTTTTCACCACAAGGTTAGTTGTCTTTTTTTTTCCCTTAGAAAGGGGGTGTAATTGACATTTCTTTGATCTGCTCTTTCTTTTAGGCTTACTTATTCCTGACTTGTTCCTTTTGTATTTTGATCATAAGTTATTACTTATCAATCATAATCAAAGAAATGTACTCGCTTGACGATTTTGGTTGGAATTTAGACAAGCATTATTTAAATAAGACTCTCAGGGCGATCAAAATTTTGATTTTTGCCAAGGGCTAGATTTAAATAGTAAGACTACTCCAAAAGGGTGTTTTCTCTTTTCTCCCTCTTATTTATAAAGAATATGTGCATAGTTTTGTGACACATATGAAGATGGAATAAGCTTTATTCTAAATTGCATCTATTTTATGCGTCACTTTTCCTTCAGTCACCCTCTATGCTTACAACTTTTGACGTTTATTGGCTACAGATGAAATCATAGAGAATTACGATCTCATTCGCTGATTGGATATCCTACGCTTAATAAGCAGACAACGGCATTCCCTATTAGGAAGACTGCAGTGTACAGTGCTCATGGTGCCAATTTGCGCGTTTTTAAATATCTTTGGGCACTTATAACTATCAATTTGCATAAATTTATTTGGGAGTTATACTTGTTCCAATCATTGTTGCCTCCGTTCCAGGTTTCGATGAAGTGGTAAAGGCTCTTTTGTGTCACGCTTTATTTTCAGATAATATATAATAAAAATTTCTTTAGTTCCTATTTCTTCAGATCTTTTTCGCGCCATACACCTTGGTAGTAATATGTCCAATGATCAATCTGAACAATTGTTTACAAGAGAACAAGTCAAACAAATCATTGAGAAAATGTCAAGAAAACCCAATCTTAACAGATCAAGTGAGGCCCCACAAACCTTTCAAACGAAATCTTGGAAGAACTGGAGAATAACTCGACTATCAATTTACAGAAGAACATCAAAGAATTTGCTAAGAGCCTTTCAAAGTACGAAGGTAGTGAATGGACCAACAGCAAGATTTTCAACAAAGAGTTCCGCAGAGAACTTAAAAGGAAAACCGCGGGTGCCCTCCAAAGCACAAGCACAATATACAAGGGAGCTGATCGACTCATCATCGCGAGAAGAGCAGCAGCCGACCTTTACGAAGAATTCCAGCAATTTCTTGAATCAGGAGGAAATGAAGAACAGTTCTTTCACATCATGGAGAGTATCCGACAATTTGCGGTTTACTCATACACCACGAGTAAGGCCACCAAAAGTGAAGCAAGGATAATGGTGATCAAGACGCTCAAGCTCCTCGACAGCGTCAAATACCTGGAAGAAGAGCCTAATGATAAATCCTTGGACTTGGGCAGGGAAGAAGTTGAAAGAATTTTTCAAGCCAGATACGAATAGTCCATCCTTAGAAATGCAGTTGGACGACAACAACAATTATTCAACCACAGTAACAGAGATACACCAAAGGCTGTGTAACCTTCCACAAGCCTTTTTTGGATGCAGCAAGGGCCAACTACACACGGAGATCCAAGCTTCAATTAACCCCAATAAGATCGTCGTCAACGCCGACGTCTTCCCCCATGGCAACAGCGCATTACACCGTATCAAGAGATGGCATATCGCTAGGGGATTGTTTCCAATGTTTCTCAGAGCAATAGAAACGGCTAGTACTCCATTGATGGTCTGTGTCGGTAGTAACACAAGGATATCAACCTCAGTGGAACCACAAACCTCGACCATGGAAATATACTCCGATAAAGTTCACGGAAGAGGAGCAAGTAGCAATGGACGAAGCAGTAAAGAAATTTCTAAATTCAGGCATAATCGAGTGTCCTCCGTCTCAGTGCAAGAGCTATCCATCGGAATTCTTTACTGTGAAAGAACCAAACAAACGCAGGCCGATATTGGATTGCAGGAACTTGAACCAGTACATTGATTATTTATTCATTCTCAGCTAATAGACGACGTCAGACATTTACAGTCGTCATCCTTCGTATATATTTGGGTCATACCCTCATTTAATAGTTCTTCTCTCAACTTTAAATAAAGAATAGTAATTGTTAGCTATCGACTCCTACTGTTCTTATATATAAAAACATCAGAAATACAACAATGTGAACAGAATTTGGGCCCCCATATTTCAATCACATTTTTGTGATGTACCAAATGTCATATTGAAGTGGTAAGTATAGTGCTGTGTTTTGGGATAGTGTTGGAGAAGACTCAGCTTCTATAAAAAAAAAAGAAAAAAAAAAGAAAAAAGAAAAAGACTCCAACACTACCGCCAGCAGCACCAAAAATGCCATCGGAGACAAAGTTGATCTCAGAATCATTAGTACAGAGGGCCATGATGTTTTGAATGTCGAGTTTGCTTGATGTGCTGACGATACAAAGTATGAAGGCGATAGAAGGAAGATTTTACGTGAATCTAAGAATAATAGTGATTACGCCTACAGAACCACTTGTGTCAAGAAGAAGTTAAAGAAAGAATCAAGGAATTTGGAAATACAGGTAGCAGCTAATGAGGGAGAAATTACAGTGGCGTGCTTGTGTATAAGCAAAAAAAAATAAAAAAAAAAGCTCTTTAAGGCTCCCATCTTGTACAGCAGACTTGAAAATGCTTCATATTTTATTTGAGCGTTTAGACAAAGTAAAAGTAAATTCTTGCAATTGATATCATGTAACAAGATTACTTAGATTTTTTCTAGAGAAATGCTGTACATATTAGCAACATTCATATGATCACTAAGGGCATAATGTTTAATAATAATAGCATGGACAGAAAGCACAGTTGTGACGTTTCTCTCAATAGAAATGATAACAGTAAAGAGGTGGGAGAGATGGGCAACAACCAAGAATGGCCTCCCAATACAAGTTCTTCCAATAAATCTTCAGAACATTTTGATCATACACGTGGATGCCTCTCAGACAGGGTGGAGTGTTCAATTAAAGCTAATAACGACATTGGGATTCTGGACAAAGGAAGAAAAAGAACTCTCTATAAATGTACGCGAGTTGAAGACGATCTTGTTCGCACTTCAACTGCACGCACCAAGCGTTGCAAACTCAACCATCAATCTCTATACAGACAACGTCACCGCTTTAAAATACGTAAGAAAACTCGGAGGAGCCAGCTCAATTTATCTTCAAGACCTGGCACTTCAGATTCAAGAGCTCATCAACAAATCCAACCTCAAGATTCACTTTCAACACATATCGGGTGTGACCAACATTCAAACAGATCGATTGAGTAGACGCACAACAATATATGAATGGAAATTACCAAAATGGTTTCAGCTGATTCAACGCAAATGGGGCCAACGCATCATAAACGCCTTTGCAGCCCGCCACAGCAATCTATTGCCGGAATTTTGGGGTTTACATTCAGGCCCAGCAGCAACAGCAGTGGACGCCTTTCAGTAATCTTGGCCAAGGAAGGGCCTCTACCTTCACCCTCTTTGGAAATTAATTGCAAAAATACTTCACATGTTCAAACGCCAGAAAGAACAGAAAGCCATGCTTGTGGCGCTGTATTGGAAGACTCAATTCTGGTATCCAATGATTCTAGTACTGACGAAAGAGCCTCCCTTGATCATATCAACCAACAAGAAATGGAACCTGGCCGCCTGAAAATTATCAAACCTTTAATACACAAGACGGTATAAATGAATCAACAAGCAAATTTTTACAACAGTCCCATCGCAAGAGGACCCACCAGTTATACAATTGCGGATGGTCGCTGTGGGCCTCGTGGTGCAAGAAACAACACCCAGCAATCAATAATCTACAATATGAACCGAAGAACATCCTGAAATTTTTAGTCCAACAGCAGCATTATTCATATCAACACCTGAATATGATTTCAAAAGACTAAACCAAACTTGATAAGCGAAATCTCTTTCAGAAACCTTGTATTATTTAAAGGATCCAAAATAAATTTGTTGGCATTGATAAGATAAAGAATATGGCTAAAGAAGTCAAGCACATGTTGTTTTTCTGTGCTGATATCTGGTTTGGAACGAAATGAGCTAATGTGCTTCTCAGCAGTGCTAATATTATTTTCAGAGGAAACACTACATGTACCAGAAAATACACCAGAAGTTAAACTAATACTACGGATGCTATCTCTACCCATTACCTATGATGTCGTCCAACAAAACCTTTTCATTATATAGCACCAAACTAAACATGACTTTATAAAGTCGCCATATTGGCTTGTTTCTTTTCAGGAAGAGATAAAATTTTTTATGTTCTGACCATATATCTGTGGTGGGCGCTTTACTGGAAGGCAGAGCTGGGATCGGAGGTGTTCCTCCTGGTTTCTACTGGTTTCTACTGGAAGCTGTTTTTTGGTCTCTCAAAAAGAGACTGCTGGTTCTTGTTACTTCGATAATCCTGGGATTTATTTCATTCATAACTTTGTCCTCACTGTTGACCTCGGTGCTGTTGCTCTTCGAAGAATCGCTTCTTCATACCTAGCTTGCTGAGTTCTTTCGACAGTTTCGACATCGAAAGCCATGTTCTTGTATTCATCGTCTTTATCTTCCAAGTATCTGACACTTGTGGGAAGGCGTAATGCTTTTGTGGGTATATCTCGGGCTTTTTCGTCCATTCCCTTCCTGCTGACATACCCGTAGACTGAGAGGTGTCGGACTTTTTCTGATCATTTGAAATGAGGAAATGTCTACGCCAAAAACAGAAAATAGTGTCAATTGTTGGAACTTTAATATTTTTCGAAATTTCGACATTAAACTTCGACCGTCGAGTTAAAGGGAAATGAATCATACTGAAAATAAAGCGTAGCTTGGAAAGCCTATTATCAAATCCGTAGTCAAATCGGAGTCAACTATGATTGAGAGATAAGTATACCTCATTTGATTTTTATTTCAGTGCGAATTGGGGTTTAGGAAAGCGCAATTTGGTTTCTGAGTTGACGCAATCTGACCAATTAAATTTACGCAAATTGATATTTACAAGTACGCAAAAATATTTAAATCCGTAAATCAATTCATCCGCTTGTTAAACACTTTTTATGCTAAAAAATATGTCAACTAAAGCTAAGACAGTGGTCGATAATTTTTCTATTCATGGAAACGCAATTAAAGATGTAAGTTATTTGTTCATGGTCAAGATATTTAGGTTGCTAAGATATAATAGGTATATGATGTACCAATGTCAGCTATCAATAGGCCTATACCATCACAGTTAGATAGAGAAAAAGTAGAGCATATGAAGACAGTGTTACAAACACCTGAACGAGAACAAGAACTCACTCCAATTGATGTTCATCATGTTGAATATAAGGGTCAGGATTACTACTTTGCCTTTGGAGGCTGTCATCGATGGGCAGCAAGCAAAGAATTAGGCAAAGAAACGATCCGTGCAAAACTTATTGACACTCCAGCAAGCGTTATCAATACATACCTTGGATCATCTTCACCTTTTAAGGAATAACAACTACATTATAAATAAACAATTTTTATTATTGTACAGATTATGTCTGAAGTCTATCTTCGGCTGTCGGACAGTAGACTGGCATGTTTTCATCAAATTGACTAATAAGGACTTTGTCTTGCTTTTTCGTAAATAATTGTCTCCATAGTAACCTTGATGCGAATTTATATGTCTTGATATTTGGATGAAATCCATCCAAGTTACTGCAGTCAACTTTTAGTCTGGCGCACTCTCATCGTTAGTATCATTCTATCTTACCTTATAGAATCCACAGGTACAGTTACACTATATGTATCCAGTGGCTGATAAACTATTGCCACGTCCTTTTGTCGCTTAATACCAAGAAGATCTTCAATGATAGTTCCAGCTAACTCTCGGTTTAGCCTTGCTACAACTTCCTTCAGTTGCTCATTGTACATATCAACCTGTTTTCCCATACGTTCGAGGCCCCCATTAGAACAACATATACATTCATGATCGTGCACATTAATGCTTTTATCAGCAAATTGTTTTACGTATCCTGGATGCTTTGGTGGAATTTGTATAAGCTCATTAAAGTGCTGAACCGATACTATCACAATAGAGTATAGCGATTAGGGTTATGGATGTGACATTTCATATAACAATCTCTTACATATATTGATAAATGCTTTATCCACATTACTGATTAGTGTCTTGAGATTATTGTAAACATTTCTTCCATAGTTGACCGGTGTCATTCCAGGTAAACAATGTGCTGATATATCGTTATATCCAATGTAAAGATGTATCATCTTCCATTCGTGTGCCAATGGAGTATTAGGACCAATATATTTGAGCAAATATTGTACTTGGTCACCTAATCCTGAGCTAGTTGAGCCTGTCTGTGCTGCATTCAATTGATCGACAGGATAGCTTATAAATAGAAAAAAAAAAGTCACTACGAAGCATAAAAGGATCAATGATATTTTACTTGTGATAAGGTTCGAAGCAAAAGAAGGTTTCTAATAAAAAGCATAAGCTCATTCAATCTTGTCTGTTTTCTTTTTTTTTTTTTTTGTTTTTTACTTTTGCAATATCTTGCTTTGTTGGAGCCAACAGAGGCACCCACCAATTCTTGATTATAATGCTTTATATAGTTCGCAATACTGTTACTGTCAGGATCCTAAAGAAAAAAAAAAAGATAATTTATACATCAAGTATAGAAAATATCTACTTATCATACCCCTCCCATTATAAAGCCTTTGCCCCTAAACTCTACAAACTGCTCTGGACTGACATACTCTGTTTTGACATTGATAGCTGCAAGCCCAGCCGTGATGCTATAAACACAAATTAAATACATGTTATCCAAAACTTTTTGTCTATACATACCTGTCACCCATTGCAGCAATGACTTTAATATCATCTGGTCTCAAGTCATGAACACTCTCTGGTGGTGGGCGCTGTGGCAGCGGTGGACATTGTGAAATATCAGGAAAACTGAATGCAGATACAAGAGCTATTAAGCCACCAAGGAGAAACAAGAGAAAAATTGTGAGCTTCATGAGTGGCGAAAACAACGAAAATATTAGAATAAAAAAGGACTTTAGGACAAAAAGGAAGAAAGAAATATGGGTTTTTATTTATAGAGGACTATAGTCTCCTTAAACCAAACTTACAAAGAAGTTTTACAGGTTGCAGAACAATTTTTTCTTTTTCATGAAAATCCTTTCAGGAGCTTCTTCGAGTGGCAAGCTTACGTGAAGTTAAGGAGTAGGTAAAAAGGGGACTCTGTGAAACAGTTTATTTTTCGGATTGTAGTATAGATGTATCTGGTTGATAACTACCATTTATTTCTTTAACACGTTTGGATTTTCCCGTTCAGTCAGAGGTTTTATATACTTTCCATGATAAGGCGGTATCCCGGTGCTTCTAGGAGCAGTAAGAAGTGTATCAAAGTAAGCTAAAAACGAGTAAATAGAATGTTAGAAAATTTAACTTTAAATCAACACTCCCTTACTTTGGTAGATGTCTCCATTGTATTTAGCAATAGGGGCTTTCAAGACAAAGTCAGGGATACCAAAGCCATCTGTAAGGCCGATAACTTGGTAGCGAAGTGATTTGCACATGTCTGTATATGTTTTTTCAATGCTTTTGATATGCTCAGGTGTAAAGTATCCTTCTTTAAAGCCTTGGTCACTATATGTGTACAGAACGTGCATACCCCATAAAGCAGTCAACTTCTTCATAATCGTCAAGACACTAGGTTCAATTCCTGGTGTGCCAACCGGCTGACCAAACTTTTCTGCACAGACATTAAACATGAATGTAGCACAATGCATTTCGGCTACTCGTACACTATCCAGCAGTAACTGATCAGATGGCGTGCCTTGTTGACGAGCAGTGTGAATAGAGTAAAGCTATTAAAAAAGATGAGTGCTTTTGAATAAAAATATATACTAAGCACCTACACGCTTCACAAGAATAGTATGGAGTGCCTCTGTAAGCATAGTAAAATCTTTGATACAATCAGAGGCATCATTTGTTAGCCATCTCTTATTCTCCAAGTATCGTTTAGCATCCTTGATGTAAATAGTCGAGCTCTTGAATTTAAGATCAGGATACTCATCAAACTCAAGTTTTTGTTCAAGTCGATAGAGTAAATAACGAGTTGTTTGCTGCAAAAGAACAACGTTATCACCACCACCAGTTGTCATTACGCCCCAATCTCCAATAATATGGCCAATTGCATTATAAGCAGAGTAAGCGTGTCCTCCACAACTTCTACGACAAGTTTCGAGAATTTCGGTGCTGTACCATCCTGTAAGACCCTTCAGGCAAGCAGCCATGGCGTGCATATCGCCCATATGGTTCAGATATACCATAGGATCCATCTTGCCACCGGCTGTCGATATGTCAAAGTGTTCGTTCAACACATCTGCTGTAGATCGGACCATATATATAAAGGCAATAGCAGGTATGATCTTGACATAATGAGATTGATAATCCATGATCTGTTGATTTTTAGCCCCCTGACGGCGAACAACGCCATAACGTGTAGCTATAGTAAGTGCTTGGGATATCATTTGAGTTGTTACAGTAACAAGGGATAATCGTTCAGGTATCAGTGTGGCATACATAACAGCAGGGTTGGGAGCTGGCTTATAGTTTCCTTGACGATCCAGTTGAACCCACTTGGCAAGCATGTCTATACGTGGAATACGTTTTTGACGGAATTGGATCCAGCCGTTGTCCACGCCGGCATGACCAACCTTTTCACCAATGTCACCTATCCGAACATTGGGCTCTAGCTCGCCTGTGTACTTGTTTCGAAGTTGTACAACAAACCAATTCAAACCAACATTTTTACCGTCAACGACCGTTTGAGCAATGACAACAGCATGAGTAGCTGTTTGGGCTGCCATACCTATCCACCATTTTGTACCAGTGATCGTAGGAGTATCAAGAATAAATTCGTCCGTGGCAAAATCGTACGTGGCAGTTGTTTCAATTTCGCGGAGCGCTGAGCTATGACCAAGTTCCGTCTATGTAATAAAAATGGATGAGGCATCAAGGAGAAATGTTAGAATAGGAACATACCATAGCAAAGCAACCAAAAATCCTGTAGTTGCTAATGTCGTCATTGTATCGATCCTGCTGTTCTTTGTTTCCAAGCATATTAATGACGTTACGAAAGAGCATTTCATGCACAAAGAATCGCATGGAGAAACTTTCCGAGTACATACTAGTAGCTCGTGCTATTTCATAAGCAAGGTCTTTATCTTTTGTATCTTTCACGACATGAATTACTCGATATATTTGTCCCATGGTACTATATCGGAAGGATTTAGCATTTTATATTCAAACGACGTATATACTTCTTACAATTCTCTCATTTCATCTCTAGATAGTTCCAAGAAATTACGTGGTGGTTGAACAACCAGTTCAGGATCATTCCTTATTATCTCATAAGCTTTTTGCTATGTAAGTTGTTAGACGATGTTTATGCAAAGAAAAGCACAAATTTTTTACCAAAAGCCTATATTTTTCATCACCACCAGCCCAAAACTTTGCCAGCTCCTCAATATTGAATTCAGCTGCAGCGCGTTCTTTGGCCATATCTTTAGGCGCCTGTCGAGACATTGACGACGGTGACAGGTTCAACTGACTCTTGAGTTGATTTAGTCTCTCCAAGGCAAGATTAGCACGAGGATCCTTTGATTCAGAAAGAGGTATAATCGTCATAGGTGTTTCTAAAAGCGAGGGAAAACTGTAAAGAAGAGAAAAAATCGGCCTGATTTAATAAGGAGTCGCCAACCCATTTTCAGAAAATTAAAGCTGAGTCAAAGTAAAATTTCCCCCACTTTTATTAAAGTTTTCACGTGATATGCTTGTTCTGTACACTTTCTTAGGAAAACTCCAAGTCGTCATATAGGCAGAAGTATAAAACGAAAAAAATATAAAAATATCTTACCAAGCTTAAAATCTTTTTGATGACATTCAAGTGAAAAACCTGTACGTGATTGTTTCTATATGAAGAAAGTTAGCGAGTCCGCCGATATCAATGCGTGCCTCTATTCCCTCATTCATGCTCAACCGACAAGTCCAGTCCCTTTCATGCTACCTTATAATCTATGAAATGTAATTAATTTCTTGTGGATACTAATTGGATAAGTCTAAGCCTTCCACAAATGAAGAGTATATCCAATATAGGCTTGATGTTTAGAGCAAAATTAGCGTAGATTCTACTTCTGACGTCGCAGCAACTTTTTTCCCTTCAGAAAGGAAACGTTTGTAATATCAGATAAGAAAAATCAGATTGAACAAGGTACTCAGGCTTCTATCGCAAGAAGAAAAGCTCTTACCAAACAATTTGTGTCATGAATTTGAATTAGAGACTGGAAAGGCCAATACTACGTGCACCAGAAAATAGGCTAAGTAATGCAAATACGATTCTACCTTAGGTAGTCTTTTTGATCAACTGACGACATAAAATTAGAATAAATAACAACGTTTCTTTTTTTTCTTGAAAAGAAACAAGCCAAGTTAGCGACTTTATAAAGTCGTATTTAACGTGGCACTACGCATTCAAAAGGTTTTGTTGGAAAGCATCATAAGTAATGGGTAGATGTAGCACCCGTAGAATTAGTCTAAGTCTAAGTCTAACTTCTGGCGTATTCTCTGGTGCATGTAGTGTTTCCCAACTGGAAAACAGCGGGCAAAAATAAAAAAGAAGCTAGACCTACAGTTGAATGTATCTGGGTAACATCTAATCAAACAATGTTGTTGTCGGATGCGATGAAGTACATGTTCAAAGCACAAATTATTCAGTGGGATCCATTATTAAAACTAAAGCTGTCAACCTTCGCCCGCAGTACCATTTATTAACTTCCAACAACAAGGCAATAGTTTCATTAGTTCTAAATTCTATTTTAGATACAAGCTTTACATATCCTAACTCTCAACCAGTACTATTCACAAGTCAACAATGTGACATACTAAGAAGTAAATATAAGCCCAAGGAATATGATACCAGTAAATATGCGCATATCAGATCAATAATTGGCCCTATTTTCAAAGCGTATAACGTCAAAAAACATTTGACACCAATTGGGTCAACATGTGCAAGCAAGCTAAATCATTAAAGGTTCATGATCAAGAGTTAAAACCAGACAACAACGACGCTTCTTTCTGTTTCTATTTCGTGTTGCAAGTCCTACTTGCAATTAAACACCAACATCACTTATTTGACCCACAAATCGACAGTTTCGAATGGGACTTTATTATCAAATTCTGGAGATTAATTACTGAAAGATTATTCTACTGTATTTTTATTAATTATTAACGTTAATTTTATAAAATATTGTAAAATAAAAAAAAATATTTACGTAAAAAGACGACAAAGAAAAATACGTTTGAATAAAACGACATCATGTCAAAAGAAAGAAAAAGTCTGTTAGTATTAGAGCATATATCCTAATATTAGTTTTACTTACCACCAAGGTGCATTCTGGGGAGGGTAGCGATAACTACCCAGGAAAGTTTAAACAAAAAAAAAAAAGAAGAAGAACGGAGGATAGAGAGAGCCCAGAGCGTCAGAAGAGACTAGTAGGGAACGTTCTATATACACGCCAGAGAGCAAAGAGGGCGGGACAAACGAGTCAGAGCAAGGACCATGAGGACAGGCTAGTTTTGATTTGTGAATCTTTGAACACTCAGAGGGACATTTGATAACTGCTGTAAAGAAGTAAAAAAAGGACTCGATTAAAATGGGTTTCTATATGTTTTTCTTTTTCAAACAAGCTTCAGGATCAGGTACCTGGAGCAGAGAAATCATATCAAATAGGAGATATCTACGTGGTGATTATTCAAGAATATGCATTGCCAAACATAACTACATGTTCTTCTGATTTCATGGAAAAACCGAATAAAGAATTTAAACTTTTACAGAGAGACTAAAGAGGGGCTATTTCTAATATTAACTCCAAGACAGCCCACCTGTTAATATTACTGTCAAATGAGATAGTGAGCCATATTCTTTTTGTATTTGTTA